ACAGGATTCGATAGCAGGTATCGTGGCAACGTTACAATTCCAATACCCAGCAAGGATGTTAGTTGGTGACAGGAAAGAGGCGACATCGGAGGATGAGTAAGCTCCTTCTAACTCACATTTTATAATAGGATTGTCTAGTAAGCAAACTTGTGTTTTTCATTGCACTAGACTACGCTACTTAATTTCTATGTGAGTAGCATTCGAGACTCGGTAATTCTTGAATAAGAACTTAGTCACCGTAGGCCGCTTACGTTGATTTAAGGACTTGCAAATTTGATAAGTTGCAAATCTGTGCTAAGGATGACGCACCTCACTGACGATACCGTATATTATGCCAGCGAATCTTTTGAGAATGTATCAAGTCAACGGTCTGATGCTATAAATCGTCATGAGAACGCAGGACTAGGTACGTTCTATAAGGTCTCACTGTCGCTCCGACAAAGTTGAGTAAGTGAGGCTAAACCAACACTAAAAAAATGATAGTTGAGTTTTCCACAACCAGATGAATGAAAAGTAGGCCTCAAGAAACCAACGAATCACACTTATTACTGCCCCCTAAAAGCTTATCTCATTCAAAGTGGAATGTAGTACAGACCTCGCCTTGAATGTCCCATCTGCTCTGCGATCCAAAAGGGTAGAGATCTATCCTCTTTTATTTCCATCTTGAATCTAATGTTCCTTTCACATTGGTTAGATGAAAGTAAATGAGTAAATTTTCGAGACTATCAGTAAATCAGATATATTAGTTGTGATAACCCTATTTTGTTTAATGTAATGAAAGACTGGAAGTTGAATTTCCCTACAATGCTATGAATAGCTCTGATGCTTTCCATTGAAGTTCACATAGCCTTGCTTTCCCAAAAGGTGTTATCATCAAGGTTGGACTGCAATCTTGACCTCGCATAGGTCCTATCAACACCCCAAGCAGGAGTTGAACCATCACAGTGAAGCCTGTCGGCTCGACAGGTTAACTACTACGCCACATTGCCACGAGTACCCTGGGGTCACAGGACAGATGCGAATATCAAGCAATGCCAGGCATTTTTCTTAATACTTTCTCTGCTGAGATTGTCGATGAAGCAAACTTATATTTGCTATAGCAATCGAAGGCATGACTTTTTTGTAAGTGATTAGGTTTTCGAGACTACCATTTAATTAGATATATGAGCTGTGCTCACTCTATTTATTTTAAGGTGGTGAAAGACTGGTAGTTGATTTTTCCCACAATGATATGGGTAAAGCTGATGTTTTCTACTGAATTTAATATCGTGTTTTTATTGCTGATCTTGGTGCTTCTTGATCACCTCCGAGTTTGCTCACAGCAATCATCCTATGTCCTAGTCTCTTGTATACCAACCCATGAATGTTGTGGTTATGCTTGTTGTGATTAGGTTTAATGTAGAAACACAACATTTATGATTTGGCACGCAAGAGACTAGGACATAGAATATCATAGACTTGGCACTATGGATAAAAGCAGGATGGATGCGACGGATAAGAGAGCTAGTTGGCTAAGAATAGATGTGTTTCACCATAGACGTGGTTCATGAAGCAAAGGCTTGACTATAAGAATTACTCGAAATTTATAGCACCAGGTTAATCTCCAATCAAGCTTGAGAATACTGATATTTAGGGGCCTACTCACAGAGGTTGGAGTATCCGTGCCGTCAAAGGCTTGAGAAAGTCTGGGAAATAGTGCTTCGAGTAGTACAGATATGGTGGTAGGGTTCAAGCGATATACATGAAGCAGGCAGGTAGGAAGTGGATCCTACATGGCAAGAGGTGGACTCTGATAAGAACTATGCGAGAGAATTGCGGAATAATATAGCAGACTCAGATCAACATTCCTAGCACAAGGATAAAAAGGGGTGAGGGGGTTAGAACTACGTATCGAAGGTATTAAGACCAATATGGTGTGACATTATACATGTGCGCAGTCTTCTTTCGTTGTATACAAGTTGTTTGTTCGTGTTTTTGCAACTTTTTCATATTGGTAGTGAGACCCAGATGAATGCACCTAATCCGAGATCCATAGTATGCATGCTAATTTCCAGATTCGGACCGTGGGAGTGTACCACGTCCACGACTGTGTAATCAGTCTCCGAGTTTCCGCACCTTTAAGGAGTGGTTTCTGACTAGATCAAGGATAGAGTTATATGAAGGTATAATTACTCTAGGTCGCTCAAGATGATTAGCAGACTGCCAGTCAAGCTTTTTCCTTAATGATGTGATTTGGCGCCCTGATGTCATTGAATTTCATATAGCCTCTTGTACGATTTGCTGCAGCCCCCCAACAAAATTCAAAACCGCGTAAGAGCAACACGTTACCCCTCAACTGAACAATCAGGGAGTCTGTGGGTCATAAAACATGTTACTTTCCAAGCAAGTCAAGCCCCTCCTTAATCATAGATACAGTGGAAATGTCGATAAGACAAACATGTATTCACCCTATTTCGTGTAAGGTGATGAGGGACTGGTAGTAGAATTTTCCCACAATGATATGAGTTGAGCTGACGCTTCCCTTGAATTTCACAGCCTTGCTTTCCCAAAAGTTGTTCTCATCCAGGCACCAGTGGACTGCAGTTTCAACGGTCTTATCAGCCCTCAGCGGGATTCGAACCGCGACAGTGCAGGACGGTAGCTTGACACGCTAACCACTCGGTTACACTGCGACGAGTACCCTTGAGTCACAGGGCATTAGTGCATTTCAAGGAAGGCCAGACATCTTGCCATATCATATTCGTTAGTGGGAGTGCCGATGAAGCAAACGTATGTTTTGCTATAGCAATCGACAGCGTTACTTATATTCGTATAAGAGTAGGGTTTCGAGACTACCACTAAATCAGTGTGATTAGATGTATTCGAAACCCTACTCGAAACCCTACTCTTATACAAACATGTATTTGCCATTACAATCGTACACGCTACTTATGCTAGGTATGAGTATGTTCCAAAACTTAGTTCATATTGATGAATTTCTGATCGTTTAGAAGCAAACTCATACCGAAGAATAGTCCATCCTACAATGTATCGGCAAAATGATTAGGCCTTCAGCCCTGTTATCCCTGTCTATAATCCTGCCTGGTCAAGAAAAAGCTTGCTTCGAAAATACTGCTACCAAAACACAGGGCTCACCTAGGCTTTGCGCCGACCAGCACCCTCGCTTCAATCGGGGCAGGGGGCCAAATCAGAACAGCACCAAAGGTTAGTACGAGGATCAGATGGCGTAGATTGGTGATCCGCAGCTTCATGGCTAGTCGGCTTGCCTCGGTGACTCCGTCCGTTTCAAGCCTTTTTGGTCGAAGACCAATATCTGAAGGCATGGTGTTGACCCTATTCTTTTTCGCTTTAACGAACTGGCTAAGGGCCGAATCACTTCACTCTCCAAAAGGGGGCTTGTAATTTATATAATTGCGACAAATGAAGACCAATAGGGTGTGTAGAAACCCTGTCTTTCTGCTCCATCTCACGTGAGTTTCTTTCCTTCTCCGCCTCCCTCCCAAAACCTGACCTGAGGATCGAGGTGATCCTGTGCCCCTTGAACGTACTGAAGTACCCAACGGGCAACATTTGCAGCAGATGGTTCCAGACCTGCGGTGCCCTACACTCAGTAGGTGGGTGCAACTCAGTGCTGACAAGATCACTTCGGGCTGCACAATTGGCAGCAGGTTGCAAGGAGTCGGTGACACTAAATGTCTCGTACAAGTCCCTTGACTGGATTTTTTATTTGCATGACCTGTGCATTTTTCACTGCTTGTTAATATCCCTTGTGCATATGGTATAGTTTGCACACTCGCCCGTACAAACACACAAACGCACACATACGCGCAATCACACATAAATGCAGGCATGCACTCATTCGTCTATATGTGCACAAAAGCGGACGAATGTGCCACAAGGTGTTGGCCCATAAAGTCACACGTTTGTGTCAATCTGGCTCCAATGGAAGAATAATAAGTGAATTATTTGGAACCTTCAACAAGGTGTTGCCATCTGATCGGAAGAACACACTAGTAATAGCTGTTGCTGCCACTCAGGTAACACCACACTACCAGTAGGGTTGGGTCACTAACTGGCTGTACATTATATTAATTGGGTCAAACACTACGGCCTATTGATTGACAAATTTTCCCGGTGCGTTGCCAAGCCGGAGGCATTAGAGACTAAAACCAAAAGATGCTAAGATTATGAGTAAAAGGATGCGACTACTGCAACCCTCATTATATTCACAACGCAATAAATTACGGTGTTGAACAGAGGGGCCAGTAAGGAGCTATTTTCGGCTCAAACTCACATTAATTGAGAATTTGTAAGGTCTTGCGATGTGTGACCGTCGGGCAACATCATCAAGTATCCAACTTCCTGATCATATTATCAGCATGGCGTGGGCCTAGATTATGATGCCCGGATTGTCCATGACTTAGTACTTCCGCCACAAAGTTCGCCTCGGAAGTAAATGATGACGATACCATCAGAAATGATTCACGACTAGCCAACTGGAAAGTGAAAATACTGCAAGAGCTAAATCCTCCCTCCTCGATCGATTTATCAACCAATCGACCGATAATGACAAGGGTGATGATATTCATATTGCCTTTTGGTAGTACAATGAAAATGAAGCTAAGGATAATTCCATTAGGGTAATTGCCGTTTTTTGTTGGTATTAGCGTTATGCTATTGATGAGGGTCATGAATAGAGGAAAGATAATAAATAATAATTTAATCCTTGTTAATTAAATTTTTGTGACTCGTCTGTGCGACGATGATGCCTCTCAATTGTCCATAGCGAGAGTGAGGCTCCTAGCGGAGGTAGTATTGCTCATCGTCCCCATCATCATTAAGGGCACCTATATCCACAATTCGTTTGACATTTGTGAAGAAAAGTTGGGTTTCAAAGAATCGCTTGGTTCATTATTGTTGAAATTAATTCCATGTATAGTGAAAATGGTTGATGACGAGATTCGGAGGTCGATCCCATCAGAAGGCGACGGCAGATTCCTCTTGATAAGCTGTTGATTGGCCTTACTGGAACATTCTTGCTGACGCTATTCCATCGTATGACGAACATTAATCTCAACATCGTATAAACGCCAAACGGCTGCAGTACAACGGGATTCAACCGTCCTCTTCTGGTGAGATCGACCTTCGAATCTCTTCTTCATACACATTCATACGAAATGAAAGTCCAAGCAATAATGTGGCAAGCTCACATGCTACACCGTCAGGGTTCGACTCCCTCATATCATTGTGGGTAAATTCTACTATCAGTCATTCATCACCTTAAACGAAATAGGCTGAATGCATCTCATATTTCTAATTTACTGTTAGCCTCGAAACTCTACTTACACACGAAAATAAGTAACATAGTCGATTGATCTAGCAAAAATACATTTGCTTCTTCGCCAATCCCACCAAAGAATGTGGGATGGGAAAAAGCCTGTCCTTCCTCGAAATTCACATCAGCCCTGTGACCCAGGGGCACTCGTAGCAATGTGGCCGAGTGGTTAACGTGCCAAGCCCACACGCTGCCCTGTCACGGTTCGATTCCCGCCGGGTGTGGTGATATGTACTATGCGAGGTCGAAACTGCAGTCTACCCTGGATGAGAATTACTTTTGTGAAAGCGAGGATACGTGGAATTCAATGGAAACGTCAGCTTTATTCATATAACTGTGGAAAAAATCAACTCTCAGTCATTCATCGTCTTAAATGAAATAGGGTGATTACATCTTATATAATAAG